CTGGTATTCAGACCAACATGGATGAAGATAAAAATATGCAGTATCATAACCACTGTTCATCCTTATCATTTTGTTCTGAAACTGTGTCATTCTTACTATTTCTGCTTTGTTTTGTTTTTTGTCTATGTTCTTGGCATTTTGCTACTCTTCTTCTTTTCAATTCTCTTGTTTTAAAAAAGTGAAGTCTTCCAGGAGAAAAGAGGAATGGTCATGTGTGTCTCTCCTATATGAAGTGAGGATTCCAAACCCCTTCTCAGGAATATGAAGAAGTCCTAATCAGCGGAGAAATGCCAGTGCCGGGGGGAAGGGGGGGGGGAAGGCCTTCACTGGAGGTGGCTTTGCCAGAGTCCAGTATCCAGGTGTTCTTGCTTACCCCCTGGGTCACAGAGAACCATGGCCAGCGCAGAGAAGACAGCGGAGCAGCCATTGAGAACAACCACCTGAAGGTATGCACAAGAGGCAAATATCAAAAACCAGCACCCACGCAAAAGGATATGGCAACACCGGCCCCTTCCCCCTGGAAAGACAGGTAACACAGACCTCTGCAGCTAGGTCTCACTGGCCTTAACACTGCCCTCATCCTGAAGGTCTCCCCTAGTTCTCCTAATCTTCCCTGGACAAGGCACAGGTTCCCCGAGCCACACAACCCTCCACCAGAAGACTCACATGTTTTGACTTCAGGGAAAAAGGAGCTCTGCTGTAGTAGCACAGGAAGTGGGCCACTGCCTCCCGCAAGCTGTGGACAAACCAAGAGATACCTTGCGGGTCCCAGATCCCCTCTTCACTGAGGGTTTACATTTCCGCTTTTTCTAAGGGACCAGTGTCCACCCCGAAAGGGACTCTGCAACCCAGCCTAACTTCTTTGTAAATGGCTACAAATCAAAATGTCAACTCCTCCGGTCACGCAGACAGTAAGGGAGAGGTGGGACAAGAACCCAGGCTCTTGACTTATTGGACAGTGCGATTTCTACCAGACCAGGCTGTATGATGAGGCTTTGCTCCTGGTTTCCTAGGAGTTGTTACCCAAAGGAGCAAGGACGCAGCCAACCAAGAGTATAGTGCATTGAATCCTTCCCTTGCTGTGGACCAGGAGATGCTAGATATGGAGGTCACTTACCACCGATGTCCGATTGAATTGGGATACTGCAACAGGACTTCATTACAATAGTTCATGCCCATCCCTCTAAACTGTTGACAAACAGAGCATGAGGAAAGTCAAACCAGGCAAATCCATCCTTCTCCCAGTGTGAACGTGCAACCTGCACTCCTAGGGCTGCCCAGGTCAGGAGTGATATATACTCTGCCTTTTCTCTGGTGAGTGGAGGCCCCTATCCTGGCATTGACTACCACACAGATGCCTCACTGGGAAGTATTCAACAACCTCCTCAACCCATGCCCCCTCAGCAGCCCACACACTGGGGTCCTACTGAAGAACACCTCTGGACACACTCAGCAAGGGCAGGAAGTGACTTACGCTATCCCAGGATCTATTTTTCCAATCATTTCCCCAAACTCCTGCATTCTACTCATGTCTAGCACAGGCAGGGGAGCATGCTGGGGGGACTGCTCCCTGAAGGGTGGGTCCCAGCACAGCCCAGAACATGACTTACCCTTTCAGACAGCAGATCGATGCTCAGCCTGTTCTCAATGAGGCCAAGGTTCCTGAAACACTGGAGGGGAAGGGATTTGAGACTGGTGTCTTACAGCACCCTGTGGGCAAACCCCCCCCCCCCCGCAGAGATGCCACTGTGCATGCACCTCAGGTTGCTGGAGATCTCACTGCCCCATGAGGTAGATCAATCCATGTTTCCCAGCACCCAGAATCTTAAAGCTTGCAAAATTTCCCCTTTAGAGTCACATGCATAAGTAATTAATAGTTGAATTATGCTCCATTTCAGATATCCGCCAGATGCTACACTAATTCTCAGTTAATTCCTGAGAATGGCTCTATATAAACCCTGACGAAAGGGTGAAGAGAAGTTATTACCTAGCGTCCATGTGACCTTGGGTGATAGGCAGAGCTCCACGTGTCTGCCCAGAGCCTGGACCCTTACCCACCATGGGCCCTCCCTGGCACCCACCTCTGCTGTTACACATCAGGGACCCCCAGCTTCTGGAGGAGATGCTGCCCCTTGGAATA